TTCTCCCTCGTTGCCCCCGCGCCCCCCTCCTCACACGCCTCCCCAGGTGCAGTCCGCCGTAAGGTCCATGGCGGTCAACCCGCAGACGGGCACCGTCGCCGTGTTCCTGGAGGTGTTCGGCCAGGGGCAGTTCGGCTCCCACCTGGCGCGCCCCCGCCCCGCAGCGCCCCCTCCTCCTCCTCCTCCTCCTCCTCCTCCTCCTCCTCGGCCTCCTCCTCCTCCTCCTCGGCCTCCTCCTCCTCCTTCTCCTCGGCCTCCTCCTCCTCCTCCTCCACCAGGGCAACAAAGTACGCGCGGTGCCACTCGCGTTGCGCTGAGGTCAGCAGCACGTCTTGCTTTCGGGGGAGGGCACGCACAGGCAAGGGCGTGCGAGTGGCATAACCAGCTGGCTCATGTGCATGCCTGGCAGTGCCCCCAAAGCCAGCTGCGCTCCCTTTGCATGCCCCACCTGCAAGGCCTCAGGTCGTCCCAGCGGCCCTCTTCCCGGTGGGGCCAGGCACCACTCGCGGCCAGAGGTGAGTGCCCCTCCAGCAGCGTCAGCCGCTGGTGCCCACGCCATCTCTGCACCCAACTGGAGTGGGACCACTCCGAGGGTGCAGGAACACCCGTAGCGATTCGGGGTGCGAAGAGTTCTCGATTTGTTTTGGGTGCTCCGACGCCGAGGCCGACCTCCGCAGCTCCCTCTCCGAGATGGAGCAGAGGATGTGGCCTTAGCATTACAGTCCAGGCCCCGAAGAAGGGACCCTTTTCGTTGGGGAGGGGCTCCGCGTTCCTGAAGTGTTTCGCAGCTTGCCTCAGGTTTTCCTTATGTCTTCGATCGGAAATCGAAGTTTAACTTATGGAAAAGAGGGGATTCGTTCCTTATTTAGGGTTCCTTAGGTCAACGCCCCGACTGAAGAGGTATGGCATTGCGGCAGCCGGGCCTCGAAGCACAAGGTCCGCAGGGTGGCGCAAGCAGTCACTGCTGCAGTGGCTGCCCCACGCCGCAGGCTCTCCTTCGGTGCCTGCCGGTGTCGGTCTAGCGGTATCCCCTGCCCCTTTAGGCAGAGGGCAAGCCCATGCCCATGGCGCAGAACTCGCCAAGAAGGCGTTGTTGGACGAGTTAGGGTTTTTTTTCAAGGTATGGGCTCCCAATGCCTTCATATGGAAGAGGGCCCTGTGAGCTCGGCTGCGGACAAGTTGTCCTTCATCCTGTTGGCGCCCGCCCGCCTATCCCTAGAGAGCTGAAAAGGCATTGGCTCAGTATGGCGCTCGTGGCAAGAGGGGGCGGCCAGTCAGAGCAGCAGTGATCTCCCTGTATGATCCGTCGACCGTCCAACTCGCTCGCAAACTGCGCCATGAAGCAGCTAGAGGACAGACAGTGCCGCCTGCTCGGTTGACCGTCTTTAGATGGCTCCGCGAGTACATCGGCGTGCCACTGCCGGTCGAGGCACGCCTACTTCGCGATTTCGGGAACGCGCCGCTGGGCTAATGGCCAGAACCGGCTACGGCGCTGAACCCGGAGGAGTTCTGGCATTTAGTGGTTTTGGTTTTGCGTTTGTAGCCTTCAGAGGCGCACTTGGTGCATCTCGTCCTTCCTCGTTACGTTGTGCTGTATCCAGACCAAGCGCTTCGCCAGGTCGTCACTGCAGGCGGCGGACCAAGGCCTCACCGACGCATTCTGTCTTCAAGGGAGGCGCCGCAAGCAAGGCGCCAGGACAAGGGTATCCCTGTGTCCCGTGTTTCGCGAACCATGCCTCCCGCATTCCTGCTGAAACGTGGCCCTCAGGAAGGGTCCTGCGTCCTCTCGAGCATCCTCTCCAATCCACTAGAGTCCGACCGCGCTCCTGGTCAGGAGGGTCTCTGGCCTCGAAGTATTGCAGCGTTCTTCTCGCCCCGTGGGCTCGCGGCATGGGGCGCGTCGGCCGCCGGTGCCGGCCCAGGGCCGACCGCCACGGGCAGCCACCGCCGCCTGCCCGCGCCGCTGCGCTTTTCTGCCTCCGCCGCCTCGGCCGCCGGGCTCGTTTCTCGAAGTCCTCCTCCTCCTCCTCCTCCTCCTCCTCCTCCTCCTCCTGCTCCTCCTCCTCCTCCTCCTCCTCCTCCTCCTCCTCCTCCTCCTCCTCCTCCTCCTCCTCCTCCTCGTACCAGACGCCGGGTCAGCCCAAGGCGGGCCAGTCCAAGAAGGGCCTTGCCTTTCTTTCCGGCCACGCGCCTAGGGGGCAGGGGGGAGGGGGGAAGGCTTCTTGGGAGCACCCCTGCTGCTCAGAAGGCGCGCGGGCCTCCTCTCTATCGATGTGAGGCTGGCGCCTTCCAACAAGCAGCTTCCTTCTGAGAAGCCTTCCCCCCTCCCCCGACCCCTCTGAAAAGCAGCTTCCCTCTAACAAGCAGCTTCCTTCTGAGAAGCCCTCCCCCGCCCCCGACCCCCCCTGCGCGCCGCCAGCTCTTCTCGAGGGTGGGGCGCCGGCCGCCGGGCTCCTCTCGCCTTTTTACGGGGGCTCTTCGGGGGGGCCCGGGCGCCCACCATGGAACGCAATCTTGTTGCGTTCCACTGTGTTAGTTAGACGCTTGGCAGGCGTAGGCGCAGCTGCACGCTTGCGGGACGCAATTGTTCAGTCTCCCCTCACGCCCTTCGGAGTGATCTCATCCCTTGCGCCGCGTTGCGCTGATGGGAAATATTGTTTTTGAAAACACCCGCGAACCCCCTCCGAAGCACCTTCGAACAAAGACCCCAACTCGGGGGATTGTCAGGGTTTTTTCGGGTGTTCTCCGGCCGGCCCAGGCTCCAGGGGGGGGGGCGCACCGTTGAACAAATCGTCCAATTCCAGGGTGTGTCGATCATCGCCCTCGGTGCTGTAGCAGATGTTGCGCCTGGAGAATATCGAAGGAGCCCACGGCGAATCACCGCCGCCCCCTGCCTTTTGGAGGCGCCTGCGCCAGAGGTGTCGAGCGGAATCGCGGCCACGCCAGTGGATTGCGTGTGCCCCCAGCTGTTGGGGGAACCATTGCGGAGGGGCCCAGAGACACACATAAATACACAAATCACAGGATTCCCCATATTTGTCATTATCTTTTTGGATTTCGTCTTCCCCCCCACTTCCCATATCTTCTTTTATTTTCTGGGGAATCGACAATTCATTGTGTATGTTTGTTTTTTCCCCTCCTGACACTGGGGCACAGGTGAGGTCCCTTCTGGGACCATCTGTGGGGTTGTCTTGGGGCTGTGCTCTTGCTTTTGTGGGGTTCTCTTGGGGCTGTCGTAGGGTCGTCGCAGGTTGTCGTGGGCCCTCTTGGGGCTGCCGTGGGGCGTCTTAGGAGCTCTCTCGCGCCGTCTGGTGCCCTTGCAGGCTGTCTTAGGGGGTTTTCTCAGGGCCGTCTTGAGGCTCTCTTGGACCATCTCAGGACGCTCTTGCAGACCAGCGGTAATTGGGGGAGCTGTGGTCCTTACCCCCCTGGGGTACCCATCAGATCCAAGATTTGCTTTCCTAGTGCCCCCGCTCTCTCGACGAGCGCGACCAGCGCGTCGGCCATCGCGCCGGGTGTCGTTGTGCACGCAGCGAGTGGGACATTTCGGAAAGACGCCTGCAAAAGCGTCAAGTGGGGCAAGACTTGCCCCACGTGACGCTTTTGCAGGCGTCTTGGGGGCCCCTCGGGGCCGTCTTGGGGCCACCTTGGCAGGGGCAATTTGCAGCCGTCTTGGGGTCCTATCTTGGGCCGTCCCGGGGCCCTCATTAGGCCTGCATGGACCATCTTGGGCTGCTCTCTGAGGCCACTTTCGCCGTCGCGTGCGCTCTTAAGTACCACGAGGTCGATGCCCCGAAGAAAGCATAGGACACGCACACTTGTCTGATGAGTTTTGCCTCTGGGGCTGGCCCGAGGGCCCCAAGGACGGTCTGATAGACTCCCCGAAGAGCCACCTTGGGGACGTCTGGAGCGATCTTCGATGCCATTCCTTCGGATGCAATTCTTGGGAGGTCAAATTCTGATGTTGCCATGGTCCGAAGTCCGGCTGAATCCCGCTTCATCCCGCTTAATCCTGCTTGCTCCCGCTTAATCCGGTTAAATCCCACTCTGGCGTAAGAGCCCTGCAATGGGGTTAATCCTCCTTTCTACCTTTGCGACGAAGACCTCCCAGCAGTTGCTTCCTAACATTTCAGGCCGTGTTGCACGATCTTGGCCAAGTTCGACCCGAGGAGTTGTCATTTGATGGTGCCGACAGGGTGGGCGGGAGGCCAAGTCGAATTTTCCATGAACAGGCAAACTATCCGAGACTATTTACTTGAGCGCTCCATACCAAAGAACACATGGCGAGATATGCACGATTTACGCTGCCCTGCATTTCGCCGTGCCGCCCAGGAGCCCTCGAAAGTGGCGACAGCTGCGCAGTTCGCAGCCCCCGAGGGAGCCGCGAGATCTCGATGTGATCTCCGCTGCCCTCGCCTCCGCCGTGCCTTCCAGGAGTCAACCAGCGTGGCTGCACTTACGCAGTTCGAAGCCCCCGAGGGAGACGCGAGTTTTGAAAGAGCGCGTTATACCGCTGCTGGCGGAAAACCGGGGGGGTCACTGGGGATCCCCCCCCCTCGAAAACCAGGGGGGGTCACTGCCGGTTCGAACCCCCCCGCAGTCCACCATGAAAAAGGGGGGGTCACTACCGGTTCGAACCCCCCGCCCCCCCTCCCAAGGGGCGGGGTCACTACGGGTTCGACCCCCCCCCTCGCCGCCCGCAAACGATTCCCACTCCTCGGGACAGTGGGTCAGAGCCCCGAATCATCAGGGGTAGCTCGGGTCAGGGCTAACTCGGGTTTGTTTTTCGGGAATCCGAACCCGAGTTGCCCCGGGCCCGAGTTACCCCGGATAACTCGGGCGTCCAGAGCCCCAAATCATCAGGGATAATTCGGGTCAGGGCTAACTCGGGTTCGTTTTTCGGGAATCCAAGCCCGAGTTGCCCCGGGCCCGAGTTACCCCGGATAACTCGGGCGCCCAAGTGGGACAGTGGCGGTGACAGCGGGGACAGTGGTGGGGACGGTGGTGGTGGGGACAGTGGTGTGGGGACAGTGGTGTGGGGACAACGGGACAGTGGTGGGGACAGTGGGGACATTGGGACAGTGGTGTGGACGGTGGTGATGGGGACATTGGTGTGGGGACACTGGGACACTGGCTGGCGGGGAGAGTGGCGACAGTGGGATAGTGGTGTGGGGACGGTAGTGGTGGGGACAGTGGTGAGGGCGGTGGTGAGGACGGTGGTGGGACAATGGGACAGTGGTACAGTGGGGAGAGTGCTGAGGACAGTGGGGCAGTGGGGACAGTGGGACAGCACAGTGGGACAGTGGTGGGGACAGTGGGAACAGAGGGACAGGTGGGGACAGTGGAGACAGTGGGACAGTGGTGGGGACGGTGTGGACACTGGAGAGAGTGGGACCGTGGTGGGGACATTGGTGGGGACAGTGGGGACAGTGAGACACTGGCGGCGGCACTGGTGGGGACAATTGTGGGAACAGTGGGGACAGTGGGACAGTGGTGGGGACAGTGGGGACAGTAGGACAGTGGTGGGGAAGGTGGTGGTGGGGACAGCGGTGTGTGGACAGTGGGGCAGCGGTGGGGAGAGTGGGGACAGTGGGACAGAGGTGCGGACGGTGGTGGTGGGGACAGTGGTGAGGGCGGTGGTGAGGACGCTGGTGGGACAATGGGATATTGATACAATGGGGACATTGGTGGGGACAGTGGGGACAGTGTGACAGTGGTGGGAACAGTGGGAAAGTACAGTGGGACAGCGGCGGTGACAGTGGGGACAGTGGTGGGGACAGTGGGGACAGTGGGACGGTAGTGGGGACAGTGGGGACAGTGTGGAGAGTGAGACCCTGGTGGGGCGAGTGGTGGGGACAGTGGGGACACTGCGACAGTGGTGGGGGCACTGGTGGGGACAGTGGGGACAGTAGCAGGAACAGTGTGGACAGTGGGACAGTGGTGGTGGGGACGGTGTTGGTGGGGACAGCGGTGAGGGCGGTTGTGAGGACGGTGGTGGGGACCTGGGAGTCGTTTGCCCGCGGCGTGTGTGGGGGGGTTGGAACCGGTAGTGACACCCCCCCCCCCTTTTCTGCAGGGCGGGGGGGGTTCGAACCGGTAGTGACCCCCCCCAATTTCGGGGGGGGGGGGAGGAGGAGGGTTTAGGGAAGGGGGGGCTTTGCGGGGGGGGAGGGGGGTTGGAGATAGAGGAGGGGGTGGGCGGCGGCTTCCGGAGGAAGAGGGGGGGGACTTTTCCGTAGTAAAGCGGCGGTGGATCACGCTTTCTCCGAGGTCTCGAAGTGATCTGTGCTGCCCTTACCTCCGCCGAGCCTCCCAGGCGCCCGCGAAAGTGGCGACAGATGCGCAGTTCGCAGCCTCCCTGTATGAAACGTACGAGCCGAGGAGGCAGGAAGCAGGAGGACAAAGGAGGAGGCATGAGGCTGGAGCATGAGAAGGAGGAGGAGGATGGAGGAAGGAGGATTGGAGACCACAGTGCTCGATTCAAAACGAGAACCCCACACAGGAGGACTGGGAACAAGAGCTATCAAATCTGGCGTGCCAAGCACCCCTCCAGCAGACAGCCTTGACGGCGGATCTAGTGTCTTTCGGCCCATCCCGCCGCCGTGCCTTCTTCGCGTGGACATTTGTCATGTGGCCTTTTGTGGTCTCTTGGAAGGCCTGGAGGGGGCCCCCTGGGGGCCTCCTCTGGGAGCCTCTTCAGGATAAAACACAGAGCAGGCAACCCAGAGCGTCACGAGGTCACTCCACTCGGCAGCTACGGCTCGCCTGGAAGAGGACAGCAATGGCATGCGTATAGATTGTCGGAGCTCCGCGCGGGGTTCTTGGATTGGCGCTGCGCCCCCCTGGCGGCGCCTCTGGCGCCCCCCTCGCGCGCTCTGCGCGCCAGGAAGGGGGGTCCAGCGCCAATCCAGGGCCTCCGACAGCTTCCGTCTGCTCTCGCGCTGCTCTGCCTTCAGTCCGAGTATAATCGGCGCCATGGCGCCACCGCTCCGTTCCTATTTGTGGCGCCGCGCCCCAGCGCGATGGGAGCGCCCGTTTCCGTTCCCGCTCCCGCCTGCTATTCCTCTGTCGGTGGCGGGGCACAGTCAACCCGCACAGCAAGGACGGGCAATTTTCCCCGGGGTGCCCCTGCCTCCTTGCCTCCTCGGCCCATCCTTGGCCACTTTCGCTGGCCGCGCCCCGCTCGAGAAGCTTCGAAATTGCCTTCCAAGGCTCTTGCATCATACTCTGTGTCCCTCAATAGTTCTGGGGGTACCTGTAGTCCAGGGAGGGTACCTGTAGTCAGGGGGAGGGGTACCTGTAGTCTGGGGGGTGACCAGTAGTCCTGGGGGGGGACCAGTGGTCCAGGGAGGGGTACCTGCAGTCCTGGGGAAGGGTACCTGTATTCTGGGGGGGGGGGAACCTGCAGTCTGGGGTGGAACGCGTGTTCAGGCGTCAACGCACGCGTGGATGTAGTCCTGTGTGGGGGGGTACCTGTAGTCCAGGTGGGGCACCTGCAGTCCAGGGGAGGGGTACCTGGAGTTCGGGGAGGGGGTGCCTGCAGTCCGGGGGGTACCTGTAGCCTGGAGACCCAGAACTGCCGAGGGACACAGCGCGCCGTGCATCCCCTAACCTTGCAGGAGGGCTAAAAAATAGCACCCGACGTAAAAACCTGTCCCCAAGCTATTCTACGTCTTGATTTCAGGCTGTTTCGCTCCTTTTTTTTTTTTAGGTTTTTAGGTTTCCAGTGCTACAAAATGACTCTGGAAGGTCAGGGTCCTTGTGACACGGGTACCCTGCGCACGCCGCTGGCAGAAGCCAGGCCCGGAGGGAGCCGGTGGCGGAGAGGGCCGGCCGGAGGGCTCCGGCGCCCGCAGCGGCGCTCGGGCTCCGGAGCAGCCAGCGCGTCGAGGCTGCGCCTGGCGCGCCGCTCGGCGTGGCGCGCAGGGCTCGCGAGCAGCGCGTGGCCCAGGGCAGTGCCAGGTGCCAGGTGCTGTCTCGAAGCCCCTCCCTTGGGGCCATCTCTGGCCGTCTTGGGCTCTCTTGGCCCTTAATCGGGGGTGGACAGACCTCCTACCCTGACACGTCGATCAAGGAATCGGCCGTTTTCGGTTCGCGAGAGGGCGCCGCGGCCGTCATTTTTGCGGGTCCAGGTCCGTCGGTTTCGGTCCCAGGCCGTTTTCACTAAGGGGAGGTCTACTAAAGGGAGGTTTGTCCACCGCCGACTTAAGGGGCCTCTGGGGCGTTTTTTCGGGAGAGGGTATAGGGGTACGGAAGCCGCTGCCCTGCGCCCGTTTGCCCCCGCTTCGGCCTCCTGGGAGGCCGTCGCCACCGCCGGATTCCCTTCGAAATCTTTGTCAGCACGCACCCCAGGAGAGGTCTGGGGAGTAGCGGCATTGGTATCTGTTGGTGCCCCCAGTCTCGGAGCGAGCTCGCCTCGGGCCGTCATGAGCTGTCGGCAGCCCAGGGCAGCGAGAACGCGAGCGCCTGCCAGACATCACGGGGCTGTCGATGTTTGTTGCATCTGTGGGCCGTCTTGGGGGCAGGGACTTCGTGGGCCCAGGGCCGTCTTTTACACCGTTTCCGGGAGAAGTGTCTCTTGAAGAGGGGAGCAGCCAAAAAGCGGAGACTGGAAACGGTAGCAAAAACGGCTCCAGGAGTGGAGCCGGAGCCAGAACGGGTCACGAAAACGGCGGCGGAACCCGCAGGAAAACGGCCAAGGAACCGGCAAACAGAAGCGGCAGAACGCAGCCGGTAAAAAAAACGGCCCTGTCGTTTCCAGGGCCCACCACTAAGGGCAGCGATTCGTGCGTTTGCCCTGGCGCCATGTACGAGCAGCAGCAGGGGGGCGTGCCGCCCATCCTTCCGTCGAAGGTTCTGCTGCCGCTCCGTGTGCTCACAGGGGAAGTCTACACAACCTTGCTGTCTTCAAGGCTTTGCTATTGCTCGTTAGCCATCGTCGGCCGCCGCCCGAAAAAGAGCATGTGGGTCATCTTGGGCCGCCTTGAGGCTTCGTGGGCAGCCTTGAGACCATCTCGGGCCATCACGCTCGTGGGATGGGCGTCGCGTGTGGCGCGAGCGCGACCAGCTTCATCTCGCTCCTCTCTCCGTCCCTCCTCTTTCTCGTCCCTTTCCTCCTCGGCGCAGTGGGAAGGATATCAGATGTGTCGCCTGGCGCAAGCCGCGTGCCTCCTCCGCTCTCCTCTGCCTCCTCCTGGAGAAAGCACAATAAACCCAGACCGCTGCTCCCCGGACCTCTCCTGGGGCGCTTCCTGACCAACAATTTCGGTGCGAGTCCAGCGGTGGCGACGAAGGCCTCCGCAGGAGACCCAGAAAGGGGATGACGAGGGAAGGGTAGCGGTATGAGCAATTTCCGCTTCCAGTGACTGTCAGCATCTCCTCGATCGTCCTAGCGATTCGCCTCGTGATGTCCGGCTGCTTTCCGGCCGTCGAATGCAGCGACTGCCGCAGGGCGCGGCTATTTCGCACTACTGGCAGTGTTTTGTGCCGCGCGCGCGCGTGCGGCGCGCCAGGCTTGCCACACAGTGTCGTTTGCTTTCTCCTCTTCCTCTTCGCCCTCTCGTCCTGCGGGCGTCCTCTGATGATCACAGGCGGGGTCCAACATCAAACATCTTCTCTTTCTCCTCATCTCGGCATCGCTGGGACGTGTGCATTGTTCCTTCGACGAAGACCATCGAGGAGCATCCTTGATCATTTCGCGAAAAAAAAAAACAAGCACGAAACCGAAACAAACACAGGGAATGGACGTCCGAGCGATGGCCAGACACAGGGTTGCTTGCTTTCTCCTCTCCCTCTTCGCCCTCTCGTCCTGCGGGCGTCCTCTGAGGATCACAGGCGGAGTCCAACATCAAAAGTCCTCTCTTTCTCCTCATCCTTACCAGCCTGGAACATATCCCTATCCCTATGCAGGGCACCTCCTCATCACGATGCCAGTCTTAGGGGTTCCCTTATTTTGTGAGGGCGAATCCCTAAGATTGTCATCGCCTTTGGGCGTGTCCATCTTAGGGACAGGGACACGTTCGAGGCTGGTAACATCCCTCCCCCCACCCGATACGCCCAGGTGCCGAGCCTCATCATGATCTGGCCCAGCGGCCACATGCAGGAGGGCGAGGACCCACCCGCCCCAGGGCCCGCCGAGCGAGCAGCGAGATTCGAGGAGGTGTTTGCCTTTGCCTTAAGTCGGGCACGTCCCTCCTCAGGAGGAATGTTCAGAAGTAGTACGGGAATGATTTGTTGACTGTTTTTGATCGTTCGGGGTATTTGTTTTGTTTCCAATGTTTCATGTTTCTTCCAAGCTCCGCCTGTAGGGGGACACGCCCGACCTAACCTTTGTCGGCCTCTTGGGTCGTTTCCGGGCCTTGGGACCGTTTGGGGCCGATCTGGAGTGAAGGATTGCACCAGACGAACCATGGGAGGGTTCCTGGAGACCGATTTGGAACGGAATCGGCATCCCCCACCCCTCCTGACAGCGTTTCTGGAGTCCCAGCCCCCCCCCGGCCGCCTCCAAGCAGGGCCTCAGACTCCCGCTCGTTTTGGCGGCGCACCGTGGGAGGAAGGCGGCGCGGGTGGTCTTCAGGCTTCCTATATCTGATGGAAGAGAGTCCCTGGGAGGCTTGTCCAAGGCGAGGGGTGTCCAGTTGGGTTGCCTGGATCCCCGCTGGGTTGTCCAAGGGGTTGCCCCGGGCAGGCCGTCGTGTCGTCGTGAATTCGCATGGGCTGTCTGGCTTGTCCGGGGGGGGGGGTCCGTTCTTCTGTTCGATTCCGAACATTTTCTGTCGGTGGGTTTTCGAGGCTTGAGTCTGCAAGAGGCGAATCACGAGACGGATTGGCTTCCGAGAGGTGCAAGAGCCCACAGGGATTCCACCCTGCGCCCCCCTCCCCAGGAAAATGCTTAGTGACTGGCTTGTTTCCTGGCATCGCTCGGACGTGTGTATTTTTTCTCGGCGAGGACCCTTGAGGAACATTCTGGATCATCGAGCGAAAAAACACGCACGAAACCGAAAACTGCACGGGAAATGGGCGTCCGAGCGACGGCAAGGTTCTGTCCGTCGAGCGCGGTCGCAGGCCGCTGGCCTTCTCGCGTGCTCTCGGCGCTCCGCGCCCCGCGCCTCGCCACCGCCGCCCCGGAGCGGCACCCCCGGCGTGGGCACACGGGGAGGCCCATGCCACGCAGCACCCTGCTCGCCTCCAGTCGGGGGTGGGCAGAACCCCCAACAGCGACACGTCCATTCGTGAATTGTCTGTCTTCGGCTCTCGAGAGGGCGCCGTGGCCGTGATTTTCCAGGCTTGCGCCCGCCAGGTTTGGGCCTCGGGTCGTTTTCGCTTAAACCACGTTTTACGAAAGGGAGGTCTGTCCATCCCCGAAGTGGGTACATGGGGAGGCCCATGCCACGAAGCACCCTGCTCGCCTCCAGGGCTCGGGCCGGACGAAAGGGGGGGATTAGGAAAGGGGGGGGTACGAAATCTGCTGCATGCAGCTGGTTTCGGCCCCGCCGCCGGGCCCACTCCTCAATACATGGTCGCCTCCCGGCGCCGGGAGGCGCGGGGAAAATCAGCCACGTGAGCTGATTCTCAACCCCCCCCTTTGCTATCCCCCCCTTTCGCCCGACCCGAAGGGTGCCCTGGGTTTCCTGGGCTTCGAGGGCTGTGCCGTGGAAGGCGTGACACGCTCCCACACCACAAAAAGTCGGTGGACGTCCTGGGGCCTCGGGGTTGGGTTTCCCATGGAAAGGGGTTCTTGTGGTCGCGCCCCCGCTGTACGGGAAGGGCGTGGACGAGGACCGGCAGCACCTGTTGCTCGTTTTGAGCAGGACTCGCTCGTCGGCGTCGCCGCTGGCGCTGTCCACTTGAGACAGAAGGCCGCCTGCTCTGACGGCAGTCACTGTCGGTTTGGGACAACGTTTGCGGTTGGGCATCCTACTCGTTTTTGTCGGTACCCATTTCGGGCGTCCAAGTGGATTGTGCGCACCTTGTGCGCACGGCACAATTGCAGCTGTAGTGCAGAATGAATTGTAAAGAGTTGATGCTCATGTCCACATTCTTCCACACGTGTCCTGTGCACCTCCGGGTGTATGACTTCTTGCTTGCTGCTGACTTCGGGCGTCCCAAGTGCGATGTGCTTCCGTCGGGAGAGGAAGAGGCGACACCACCAGCACCACCAGGGGGGCCTCCTCCAGGGAGGAGGTGCACGATGCCTTCCCGAGCGGTTCGGACCTCCGCGGCCGCGGATTCTCTAAACAAAACACCTCGGCGGACGACAGGAGTTGCCACAGTGGTAGCTTTAAGTCGGGCGTGTCCCTCTTCAGGAGGAATATTCAAAAGTAGTAAGAAAGTAGTCTGTGGACGATGTGTTCTACTTTTTGTTGACCCTCGTGGAGTATGTTGTGACTATTGCTAATTTGTCTCCGTAGGAGGACATGCCCGACATAATGGCAGCTGGCCCTCGCGCGGCTTGGAACACTGGTGCGTGTTGGATCCCCAGGAGGTGATGTTTTTTTATTCAGTGTTTTGCCGATCGGCGCGGGCCTTCGCACCCCCCCTCCCCCCACGTGGAGCAGCTCTTGGCTGTTGTTGGCGCCTGCTTCGAGCGGGTGGATTCTTCCCCATGGGACACAATGGTGCAAAGAGTCGCACTAAGCAGAGGTCTGGAGCCAGACCTCGAGTAGGGGATCGACTACAGAATTGATGTACCCCCAAATCGGTTTTCTCGTCGAGTCTGAGAAAATTTGCAGAAGTCTCAGTAGATTGCTGAACATTCTAGGTCTTCGTCGTAGATTCGATGGGGAATCAATGTTGGGGAAAATCAATTCTGTAGTCGATCCCCCACTCGAAGACCCCCCCCCTTCCGCCCAATATGTCGACACGCCGAGGCAGAAAACGCTCCCGAGCTGCCGCGGTGGCAGCTGGCCCTCGCGCGGCTCGGAACCCCGGCGCGCGCTGGCTCCCTTGGGCAGGGGTCCGTGGGCCCGAGGAGCTCGCCCGGCCCTCCGAGGCGGCTCGGCCTGCTCTCGGGCATCCCGGGGCGGAGAATCAGGAGGGAAAAAAACACACAGACAATTAATCGTTGATTCCCCAGAATATATGGGAAGTGGGGGGGAAGACAAAAACCCTGAAAATATTGGAAAATATAGGAAATGTTTTTATTTGTGTGCATTTATTTGTGTGTCCCAGGGCCCCTTCAGAGAAGCCCGCTGGCCCCGTCCCCGCGGCGCCGACGACGGTGACGGCGGCGGCGGCGGTGATGGCGGCGACGATGACGACGAATGTGGCCCCATGCACTGGTTCTGGCCGGCGGGGGCGGTGTTCGAAGTCTGGGGGTCGAGAAGTTTTTTGTGTCGCATGGTTCGACCTCCGGGGGGGCATGTTCGGGCCCCTGGGTCGTTCAGAACGGATCCAGGGTGAACAACGAAACAAGGTGGACCCCCAGAGGGGTCCAGGGACCGATTGGAGAGGCCTGACGGCCGGTGCCGCCGACCCTGATCGAAAGAGCAAGGAGTGGGGGGAGGAAGCGGAGGATGAGGATGAGGAGGAGGGGGAGGAGGAGGAGGAGGAGGAGCAACGAAACAAGGTGGGACCCCCAGAGGGGTCCAGGGACCGATGTTGGACGGATGTGGCCTCATCCCCGCCCTTCTGATGCTCTCGGGGCCCTCCCAGCTGAGACACCCCAGCCGCCTCCAAGCCTGCACGTTGTCGTCGTCGTCGTCGTCGTCGTCGTCGTCGTCAGTGTGATTACGTGGTCGTCATCTCCACGACCTCCCTCGCGGCGGAGAATTATCAACCCTTAGTTCATTCCGCCGCCCACATCTCATCACACTTGGTACGTGGTGGAGGAAGTGAGGGGGGGCAGGAGAAGAAGATCGTGGCGTGGGGTCGAGCGGCATTCGAAAAAATAGTCAAACAACATGTACCTCTGTGAACTCTCTTGGAAGTTCTCTGGGGACATATCTCAATGTGGCTGTCTGATGTTGTGATCGTGGCGGCGAAGATGAGGACAAGGATGAGGAGGAGGTATCTCGATAGCTTCTTGGGGCTCTCTGGGGGCTAAACCTGGTCGTGGACAAGATGCCTCTTCAAAAGGCTTCTTGGTGTTTCTCTCGGGAGGCGTCTCGGAGCCCTCCTGGCAACATTGTTCAGACCTTCTGAGGCCTCTCGGGGTAGTCGTTCGGCTCTCTGGGGGCTTCTTGGGGACACATCTTCCCTATACCAGCGGCGGAGAAGAATTTCTTTAATCGTCCCCCAGTGTTTCTCTCAAACACCATCCTACACTGCGGAATGGATCGGCCTGGTCCCAGGCCAAGGGTGGTACTCCCGAGAACAGCGGCTCTTACCCTGCGACGACGACGACGGCGAGCGGCCCTCTCACGGCAACGACGACGACGACGGAGGCGGCGTTGACGACGCCGAGGACCACGACGATGACGGCGACGGCGGCGACGACGAGCGGCAATCTCGTGCCTGACGCTGACGCCGACGACGGGGCCGACAACGACGACGGCGACGACGACGACGTCGCCGACGACGTCGCCGACGACGTGGACGCCGCTGTCGATCGCCGCGAGCGTTGCGCGGCGCGCTGCGCGGCGCGCTGCGCGGGGCCCCGCCGCGGCCTTCCGCACGCGCGCGCGCGACGCCCCGAGGAGCCGCTGAAACTCAGCATCGACAGCGGCCCCCGCGGCGTGGCCCCCGACGCTCTGCTACCGGTGCGCCGCGGCTCGCCGCACGCGTTCCGGCGGCGAGCCAGCCGGGAGGAGGAGGAGGAGGAGGAGGGGGAGGAGGAGGAGGAGGAGGAGGAGGAGGAGGAGGAGGAGGACGAGGAGGACGAGGAGGACGAGGAGGACGAGGAGGACGAGGGGGGGGAGGAGGACGATGAGGAGGAGGAGGAGGAGGAGGAGGAGGAGGAGGAGGAGGAGGAGGAGGAGGAGGCCCTCACACGTTTCATGGCCCGCAGAGTCCGCATGGCGCCATTGTGCCCATTCTGGGACACCCCTCACACGTTTTGTT